GTTAACCCTTTGTCTCTCACAGCCTTCAGTGAGTTAACCCTTTGTCTCTCTCAGCCTTCAGTGAGTTAACCCTTTGTCTCTCACAGCCTTCAGTGAGTTAACCCTTTGTCTCTCTCAGCCTTCAGTGAGTTAACCCTTTGTCTCTCACAGCCTTCAGTGAGTTAACCCTTTGTCTGTGTCACACCTTCAATGAGTCAACCCTTTGTCTGTGTCACAGCCTTCAGTGAGTTAACCCTTTGTCTGTGTCACAGCCTTCAGTGAGTTAACCCTTTGTCTGTGTCACACCTTCAATGAGTTAACCCTTCTTCTGTGTCACAGCCTTCAGTGAGTTAACCCTTTGTCTGTATCACAGCCTTCAGTGAGTTAACCCTTTTTCTGTGTCACAGCCTTCAGTGAGTTAACCCTTTGTCTCTCACAGCTATCAGTGAGTTAACCCTTTGTCTCTCACAGCCTTCAGTGAGTTAACTCTTTGTCTCTCACAGCCTTCAGTGAGTTAACCCTTTGTCTCTCACAGCCTTCAGTGAGTTAACTCTTTGTCTCTCACAGCCTTCAGTGAGTTAACCCTTTGTCTCTCACAGCCTTCAGTGAGTTAACCCTTTGTCTGTGTCACACCTCAATGAGTTAACCCTTTGTCTGTGTCACAGCCTTCAGTGAGTTAACCCTTTGTCTCTCACAGCCTTCAGTGAGTTAACCCTTTGTCTGTGTCACACCTTCAATGAGTGAACCCTTTGTCTGTGTCACAGCCTTCAGTGAGTTAATCCTTTGTCTGTGTCACAGCCTTCAGTGAGTTAATCCTTTGTCTGTGTCACAGCCTTCAGTGAGTTAACCCTTTGTCTGTGTCACAGCCTTCAGTGAGTTAACCCTTTGTCTGTGTCACACCTTCAATGAGTTAACCCTTTGTCTGTGTCACACCTTCAATGAGTTAACTCTTTGTCTGTGTCACAGCCTTCAGTGAGTTAACCCTTTGTCTGTGTCACCGCCTTCAGTGAGTTAACCCTTTGTCTGTGTCACCGCCTTCAGTGAGTTAACCCTTCTTCTGTGTCACAGCCTTCAGTGAGTTAACCCTTTGTCTGTGTCACCGCCTTCAGTGAGTTAACCCTTTGTCTGTGTCACACCTTCAACGAGTTAACCCTTTGTCTGTGTCACAGCCTTCAGTGAGTTAACCCTTTGTCACAGCCTTCTGTGGTCTTATGGTTGGGCTGTTTGACTCTCAGCAGTAACGTTGTGGGTTTGAATCCCACCAGGGGCCCGCCGTTGTGAGCTTGGGAAAGGCACAGCCCACAAATGTTCCTCATTTCGCCCAGATGGGAATGGACTTTACTTTAGACAGCGAAACATTTGTTAGCTAATGGGTGTCATAGGGTGTGTCATCTTCAGCTTGCACTGTATGCTTCCCTGGAGGCCTAGAATGTTTGTAAGTCGTGTTTTAAGGTCTGCTGGGGCTGTACTAGTTGTAAAGCACATAGAGCTAGCTGTCCAGCGGTGATAGGAGCCATGGAAAACTACTTGTATTATTAAGATAAGGTAAGGTAAGACTAAATACGTCTTTATTGTCCAGATCCTGGCACATTGGTTTGGTGTTTCACCACATGTACACACACACACACACACACACACACGCACACACACACACGCACACACACACAAACACACACACACACGCACACACTTGCACACACATGCACACACAAGTAGGCTTACAATCACATGCATAATATAAATGAGCAGCAATATAAACAATAATAATCGTAAGCTAGATACACACTCAATGTTATTTTGATGCATGCTCTAAGGTCGTAAGTACACTAAACAAGATGGTTAAGATGGAATCATTTTGATAGATGATGGTAAAAATGACCTTCTGTATCTTTCTTTGTTACAGATCAGAAGCATAGGTCTTTTACTTCTGACTGATGTTTTTATTTGAGGGAACGAGGGATGTTTGTTGTAATTTTTTTCGTGCAAGCGGTTCTGTACAATTCCTCCAAGTATCTATCGTGCAAGCGGTTCTGTACAATTCCTCCAAGTATCTATCGTGCAAGCAGTTCTGTACAATTCCTCCAAGTATCTATCGTGCAAGCGGTTCTGTACAATTCCTCCAAGTATCTATCGTGCAAG